CCCCACACCGATAGATCCCCGCAACGGTACATCCCCGCACCGATACTTCCCCTCAGTAGGCCTATATCTGTAATTGTGGGGATATAGGCCTACCGGTGCGGGGGAGTATCGGTGCGGGGACGTATCGACAAGTAACCCGCCTGCCAGATAACATGCCACCAGTGGGTCACCTGCGGCTATAAACAGCAAACAGCCACTGGTGGACCACTGGTGTAGGATCTACTGCTCGTGGTTAGCTGGTGGCAGATTGCCGTTGGTAATGTAGCTGGTGACCGGTCCACCGGTGACCCATTCGCGATTTTCTCATCGTAATTGTAAAGTGTAGCTTTTTTTTTTTTTTTTCAAATACGCGTATGCGTATTGTAATAACGTTACCTCATTTCGGCGGAAGTGTTTTTTACCTTTGTTCACTCATTTGGGAGTGCCCAATTTCCAAGCATTTCATTGGCCTATAAAATTTACGTGACGTAGACCTACTGCACGCGACGGCTGCACGTGACGTCTGCGTCGACCACTCTACTCCGCCTGACTGCTGCCACTGGGCTTCGATTTCACTATATTTCATGTAAAATAGGCCTAGGTAAGCCTAATAATATTTAAATACACTGATTGCCGGATCTTTTCAATGTAGGCCTACATGTAGGAAAAATGTTGATTTATAAAACAGCTTTTTAAAAAATAAATTCTGGAAATTAGTACATTGTTATTGAGTGGAAGAAACAAATCGCGAAAGCTCCACCTAGGCCTACTATAGCCCTATGAGATATAGGTATGAAAAAAATTGATTATAAGATTCGTCTTTTGTATTTGAAAGTTTGGTATTTTTGTCACTTGAAAAGATCGAGTCAATTAAAAGGTATACATTTTCAAAGTGTATATATTTTTAAAAAATAAAAATGTAGTTAATCAATGTGTTATGAAGGGTTTTCTGTGGCTTTTATTTACGTAAATTTCATTTTGATAACAATTAAAATGGAAAAGACCCATAATAGATTTATGAATTATATTGATAACAATTGGAAAAAGTAAAGTTTGCATCTTAAAATAAACCTTGGAATATTACCAGTGAACATTGGCCCTTTTTCTTATGTGGTCTACCCTGAGTGTCAGAGCAACGTAAAAACTAGCTTGCTAAATATACCTTGTGGTGGAGTCGCTTTTACTAGTACAGTAGTAGGCCTACCTGGTATTGCTACTATGGGTTATATATGAAATCAAGATCGAGCTGGCAATACCGGTTTCAATTTATTAAACCCTTGACCCCAACGGCTCATCAGAATGGAATACAGTAACAATATAAAGTCATATCAATGAACTACCACTACAACAAAAACTACTACTGATACAAATAATAATAATAATAATAACAATAATTCATTATAGGCCTACTGACGCTAATCTTAGCTCCGATGCACATTGTAATTATTTCCCGAAGTCGCTAAATTGTGAGACATTGTTAAGTGATAATAATTTATTTAGTTTGAAGACTGCGAGCTTTTTGACATTTTAACATATATATATATATGAAGCCAGGGATCTTCTCTTGAAATAGTATTTATTTCAAAACATTTGCACATCACGGTCTCCTCTGTATTCACAGCAGCGAGGTGGCTCGTTTAAATTCTCAAGAGACTCGCTTAAATTTGTTAAAATAAATAAATAAATAAATAAATAAATAAATAAAAATAAAACCCTCGCTGAGATAAACTACTACTAACAGTATTTTTTTTTATTCAGGTTAACTGAAAATTATAAAGATGGTGAAGTAACCATTAATTTCCTACGGATCATGTAGAAAGGTGATGAATAAGACAATATATGGAAAAATTGGTCGTTTATAACTGACCAAATATGTCTAGAGATAATACAGTTTACATTCAAGTTGACCACCAATATCTGGCATATATATGCATATTTGTAATGTTAAGATTTTTCATGTTTTTAAAAAGACAAATAATTAAATTAGGACTAGACATAAGGAAGTGCACATGGTGCATTTTGGTAGTCATTTTAACGTATTTTCATTAATTCCAATCTGATTTCTTTACTGATGAATTATTCGTAGGCCTATTATGGTTTTCAGAGATCTTTTCATCTTCACCACTCTCCTGCAGCTATGCTGAAGAATAACATTATTGTTCTTACAAGGTTAGAGCAAAAATTGAAACAGAACAGAAGTCCTGATGACAATATTGTCTTAATTGACGAGTTTGCATTTCCTATGGAGACTAGAGAAGATGTGGCAAGGGTTGAAAACATACTTAAAGATAAGCATAATGAAATTACTGGTAAGTTAAAAAAATAGTATGATTAAAATTAATGTAGTGATTGTTGTGCTGAAGCTACATATGGAATCAATAATACGTTGATTTTTAAAATAGTGGTTATTTGATCAATGATTAATATAACACTTTAATCTGAACACTTATCATTTGTTGTATGTATATATATAAATGTGCTTTACTAATTAAGAATAGGCTATTTTATATTTATTTCAAAGGTCAAACCACACTGGGAGGGTTTTCCTCCAAGGAAATGGTACAGTGTACATGTAGATAGGATCATGTCTACTATTTTTAAAACTAACATATTGCATGCCAGTGTAACTGTATTGGGAAGGGCGGAAAGGTTGCACTAAAAAACTCGGCCCTTTNTTTAAACACGATTTTAATCCTTATTTTCATTTATCAGTCAGCAAAATAGGAAAAAACTGATAAAAAATTATTTCGAAAAAAATATTCCATATTAAATGTCAAGTCTGTATATATAAATGTGCTTTACTAATTAAGAATATTTATATTCATTTCAAAGGTCAAACCACCTTGCCACACTGGGAGGGTTTTCCTCCAAGGAAATGGTACAGTGTAGATAGGATCATGTCTACTATTTTTAAAACTAACATATTGCATGCCAGTGTAACTGGATTGGGAAGTGCGAAAAGGTTGCACTAAAAAACCTGGCCCTTACAAAAGCAATGGAATGTTTGCATTTCGTAATGATCAAATAATGTTTGCTCAGATATATTTTTACATATTAATTGTATTATAATGATCCTGAAGTAAAGTTACAGTTCAAAATGTAAAGGTTGTTTCTTCTGAACAACTTTGTCTTTTTATGGTTTTTACATATATTCTCTTAAGGATAAACGCATATCAACCTATCTCTGTCCTTTGGTGAGACAATTCCGTTCTGTAACTCCTGTTTGAACCATTTTTGTTTACTGTCGAATTTAGCACTGTTAAGATAGGAGGATTAAGTTAAGTTTTTTATATTTTCACAGATGCAGGTAGATCGAGAGCTACGGAGGCTGAATAAGACACATGCATCAAATTGTGGCTCAAAAATGCGCATGATAGGGATGGGGGCAGAAAATTGAGGGAAATCAAAACAAGGAAAAAGGAGGTAAATAAACACACTGGACAAAAGAAATGTCACCCTCTGCAGAGTAATGAAAGTTATAATGCCTGGGTCTACTCTTCATATTAAAATATGATTAATGAGTATAAAACCGCTGTACTATGGAATTGTATTCTTTTTTTTTTTTTGTGAAATTTGATACCAGGAGCATATCATTCCAGAGTCATTTATCTCCCCCAAAGTATTGGTTCACTTCTATTGTCCAGTGTGTGTAACAAAAAAATAAAATAAAATAAAATAAAATAAAAATCAATGTTAAAGGTGATAACTGTGAAGAGAAAAATTAGTTTTACGTATATCTTTTTTATCTGATATCAAATAATCATTTTCCAGTTACCTTTGTACGGCATTTCTTTTGTGCGTCTTTAGTTTTGCTATGAAAAAAATACCGGAACTCGTGTTGCGCAAAGGATTATGGTCTATATGAATGAGGCGCAATTTTGTTCAACAACCAGGAAGTAACAGGACGGAGATTGTGGGATAATGTTGAACATATTTGACAAAGAAAGAGATATGATCTGACCGACTTGTAGGTATATGGAGCAAGTGTTAATGTTACTGTGATCTCCAAGCTGCAGCACCAGAAGTAAACATAAAATTTAGCAATCGCTGACAGAAATATTACAGGATCTACTGTCGGAATGGAAGCCATGTTAGGGCAGTCTAGACGAGGTGTAAATCCAAGATCAGGACAGGTGACAGTACAGACACAACCTCCATTAGCTGAACAGGAAACAAATCCAACATCAGCTCCACATCCTCCTGTTTTCTTAGACAAGGCAGAATGTGTGCGTTCCTTCAGTACTGAACTGGAAGATGATAGAGGAATAACTGACATAACTGACATAACTGGGTTAGCCATAGATAAGGAACACATGTTTGTTGTGGATAGAGAAAACAACAGAACAAAAGTATTCACACATGGAGGACAATTTAAGTTTGATATTAAAGTAAACATACCATATGATGTGGCTGTGTCACAGACTGGTCACCTGTATATAACATCACAGGGTGACAGTTGTGTCCAAGTGTACTCCACCAGAGGTCAGCAGGTGACAACCATGGGTCAGGGTCTACTGGAGGATCCACTGGGTATTACACTGAACAGACAAGGTCATGTGATGGTTTGTGACATGAGAAAGAAGTCCATCTTCACATTCCATGCAGACAGTGGACAGCTCCTGAACACTATTCCAATCAGTATGTGTGGATACCCAGTGTACATCACAGTGAACAGTGTGAATGATAACATTGTGATATCAGACTGGGGCAGTGACATGTGGAGACACTTTGTACATGTGCTGTCACCTACTGGTGATCATCTGTACAAGTATGACGGCAGCAAAGAACGCAGTGAACCACGTGGAGTGTGCACAGACAGCTATGGTCACATCTTCATTGTTGACAGGTTTAACAACAGGATAGTGGCACTGAGTCCACAGGGACAGTTTATCAGATACATTGTCACTGAGGATGATGGGTTGAAGTATCCCTGGGCAGTAGTCATCAACCCTGCTACTGGTCAACTGGTGGTGGGAGAGTGGCGGGGCAATGTTAAGACATTCCAGTACATTGACCTGAAACAAGGTGAGTAACATGTATTAACTGTGGATATATATGATTATTATGAAAATTTTTTGAAAGTTAATTAGTCTTACAATGTTTTTATTCATGAATATTTTTTGTTTGCCTTTATTTCAATAAAAAGAGTGGAGACATTTTCTATGTTAATACTTTACTGTTACTGACAAATTTCCATGAACCCATTAGTGATTAGGATTTTGAATAAGGATGAATGACATTTCATCACCAGTTTCTTGTTAACACACACAAATAAATTAAATGTTGAAGTACTTTGGATGATACCTTATTTTCCTGACTTTGTGGATTGTTCTTTGCAAATAAAACTAGCAGACGACCATTTTTCATGAAATGGAACTACTTTTCACAGGAAGTAGTGTATTCATACACAACAGTGACCTTGGGTTTGGAATACAAAAAATAGTACATGCATTCATACTGTCACAGCATGCAAATTATAATGAAATATACAAAACTAAACACGTTTTTATGTAACACAAAAAGTTAAATGCATTTTTATTTATTTATATTATTATTATTATACTGGATAAAAACGTTGATGAAATGGTTTTGACCACCTTTTTGGAACTTTTAAACTGCATGCTGATGGATCCACGTATTTATGTCATACACACTAAACATAGATAAGAAAGAATATATCACCATGAACATATATATATATATATATATATATATATATATATATATATATATATATATATATATATATATGTTCATGGTGATATATTCTTTCTTATATATATATATATATTTATATATAATGCCTAATATGTATGCACTACAGGTTCAATTCCAAATGTTATTCTTAAAAACCATATAAATAAAAACAATTTCTTAGAATGCTTGAAAGTGAAAATTTCTTAGTATGATTTATTTCAAACAGAACAACTTTATGGCTGTTGACACTTCTGGATAGTCCGATTATATAGCCAAAATAAACCATAAAGCATCCTGCTATAGGAGTAAATAACAAATCATAAAAAAATACTATGCTGTCAATAAAAATAAACTTGTTATTAAACCAACTCAACAAATGTTTGTGCCAAGCAGATATTTAGCATTGTACAATATACATGTATTTCAGGAACTGCTCAGAATTATGCTGATTGCCATTTCAATTCTAAATTAAATAAACATCAATGTCGCCTACAAAAATGATGCAACTGTACCATATATCTCTTGCTGTATGGAATACTTGCCGAAATGATGTTTTCAGTAGAACTTATATTTTGTTTCATTTTTTAATTTAATTATGAGAAAAACATTCTAAAATATTTAATCCCATTTCTTAGTATTATCATTATGCTTCACATGTATATCAAGGCTGTTGCAATGTTTTTTTTTTATAATCTGCAGAAGCGACTAAAGAATAATTTGCTAGTTTTGATGATTATGTAAAACTGTTATGGCGTAAACGGGAGTCGTCTTATTCTAGCGGAGGTTTTGATGGTGTGAAAACGCATATAATCATTGAAGGTGGGGAAAGTAAAGCACCTGTTATAGCAGTTGAGGGGAGGGAGGAGGAGACAAATTTTGTATAAGATTTCTTACCTTAACTTTGTCTATTGTTTTCTACTTCTCTATTCTCTGTGAACTTCACGTGCAGGCTCCACGGAAACTGGGAATATTCTGTTTCTGTGTTTATATCACGTGACATGAGCCAACGTTGCCATTGGCCGGAAAGTCAAATTGATTGACTCGAACTGGTGTTGGACTTGTACTCACCCGTATTGTGTCATCTTCTCGGTCTCTGGTGCCAGTAGGGCGGCTGTACATCTGCTGCTTTTTCTCATGCACGCTAGTTAATGGACGCCCCCCGCATACGTTGGATTATAAACTAATTTATCCCATGCAAACTATAAATTTGTTTTTATTAACTAGTAAGCAAAATCTCTTACACTGCTGCAGCACATCATCTTCTAGCTACAATTTTTACATCTGATGGTTTTTAAAAGTTACTAGTACTGTTCCTGTGATTCATCAGCTGAGATTGTTTTTTTTTTTCAAATAAGTCATATTGTGTAATATTATGCTGTGTTGTTGTTAAAGGGATGACAACTGTTTGTATGATATCCATATTTACTAATAAAAATACTGTAAGCAACTCCTAGAAATATAACAAATTATGTTTTACCACTAAAATGGCAGTCAACGCATTTATTAGTACCACCAGCCTGTAAGCTGTTGGTACTTCTGGTTTTTTGTCCGACCCCCTCTCGTACAGCTCCACCAGCTCCGCGCCGGATACAAGTCACCATTCTCCTCCTAGACCGCAAGGACCCATGTCCCCATCTCTTAGATTTAGGTCAAATATAATCTCAATTTGAACCTCGTTTTTTTTTTTTTTTTTTTTTTTTTTTTTTTTGTCTCGCACCCTTGATATGCACCCTTGTCAAAATTTTTGAAAATTCAATGCCAACTATCTCTCAAACCAAAGGAATTATGGGAAAAATTACTATAGAATTTTGACCAAAATTCATATATTAAGATTCTAAATATGCCCTTGGATTTAACTGTTGACCTTTATTTCAAGGTCAAACAGGCCAAAATCTTATAAAAATGGGGATTTAAAAAAAAAAATATATATATATATATATGTTTGCGCCAATTTTTAGAAACTACACAGACCTTAGTGGGGGATTACAATTTGAGACTTAATTCATCTTCATCTTTGGAAGTTTGGGGTCAGTCGGTGCATTTTCACAGGAGAAGCAGCCATTAGATGCCAAATCTGAAAACTCTCTATAAAACTAGAACCCTAAATTCAAGAGACCTCTTGATTTTTTGCATTTGGTAGAGCTTGTCAAGCTCAATACTGGGGGTGGAATCCATTTTTTTTGTTTTTGATATAGGACCTTACGAGTTTCGCTATATAAAAAATACATTTCAATATATTCAGTAGTGAAGCAAAATGTGAAATACTCCCAAACTGGCAGAGATACACCCATGGTTACTATTGACCTTGAATAAGAAGTCATATACTGGCAGTCAAACTGTGACCTTAAAATTGACCTTTGACCTACTTTTCACCATAAACCTTGCAAATTTTCTGCCTCTTTTATCTGCAAAAATGACAGATACACTTATGGATACTATTGACCTTGACTAGGAAGTCATATAATGGCGATCTTACTCTGACCTTGAAATTGACCTTTCACCTACTTTTCACCACGGAACCTGTCAAATTTTTGTCCCTTTTATCTGTAAACCTGGCAGGGATACACCCATATTTATGATTGAACTTGAATAAAGTCATATATATATTGTCAGTCTAACTTTGATCCTGAAATTGACCTTTGACCTACTTTTCAGTATCCAATGCTAAATATCTGTTAAAGGAATTATTGGAAAAAT